ATGGGGGCGTGGCCATTTATTTACGAAACCATATTCCTTTTACTGTTATCAGCAGATCTCCTCAACCCCCTCCGCCAGATACTGCAGAACACCTTTTTCTAGAGATTACTCTTTCTCACACCAAAATTCTGCTGGGCGTTTTCTACAGTCCATCTTTAAGAGTAAATTATTTTTCTTCTTTCGAGAAACTTTTAGAAGATCTCATTCCTTCCTACAGCCATTCTATCATTATGGGTGACTTTAATACATGCCTTCTAAAAGACGATTTCCGTTCTAATAGTTTAAAGTCCCTCGTTAATGCTTGCAATATGCATATACTTCCTTTAAATGCTACCCACTTCTTTCCAAATTGTGCTCCATCGCTTCTCGATTTAATTATCGTTTCCTCCCTTGACCATGTGGCCAAACATGGTCAATTCACTGCTGATGCATTTTCATATCACGATTTAATATATCTCTCTTATAAAATTCGACCTCCCAAAGACAAGCCTAAAACTCTTCTGCAACGTAATTTTGGTGGCATTGATATGAATTGTCTCCGTGCTGATGCCCTATCAATTGATTGGTCTATCATCGAAAGCGCTTCGACTGTTGAGGAACAAGTTGATTTATTTAACGATTCATTAACCCAGTTGTATGATCGTCATGCACCTTTGCGACCTATTAAAATGAAACACCTGCCTGCGCCTTGGTTAACTGAGGAAATCAAATCTTTGATGAACAAAAAAAATCATGCTAAGGCTAAATACAAGTCTAACCCAACTGATATGAATCGTGACAAATATCATAGAATAAGAAATCGCTGCAATACAGTGTGTAGGGATGCACAGCGACGCCATATTCATAAATCTGTGGAAAGCGGTGATCCCGCTAAAGTTTGGAAATTTCTTAGGTCTCTAGGAGTTGGTAAGGCTCGTAATGTTAATTTAAATCAAGATTTGGATATTAACTGCTTGAACAGTCATTTTTCTGCTGCTTCTCCTCTTGACGCTAAAGTCAAAGAGGAAACTTTGCTATACCTTTCTTCACTGCCAACTCCTGCCTTTACTCCATTTGTGTTTAGTCAATTCTCTGGTTGTGATGTTGAGGGAACCATTCGTGCCATAGACTCTAAAGCACTTGGTAACGACAATATTGGCCGTAACATGATTCTTCCTTTGGTTGACATTCTAACGCCTATTATAACTATAATCCTCAACAAATCCATTGCTTCTAGTACTTTTCCAAGTATATGGAAGGAAGCTCAGATAATTCCTCTCCCTAAAAAATCCAATCCAGTTACGATGTCTGATTTCCGACCTATTTCCATACTTCCTTTCCTGTCCAAGGTCCTAGAGCGTCTAATTAACAGACAGTTAAGTGTATTTCTAAATAAAAATAACCTATTAAATCCTTTCCAATCCGGTTTTCGTCCCGGTCACAGTACAGCGAGTGCCTTAGTTAAAATCGGCGACGACATTCGCTCTGGTATGGAGAAGCGCAAGCTTACAGTATTAACATTACTTGATTTTAGTAATGCTTTTAATAATGTTGATTTTGACATACTGTTAAGCTTGATGAGTTCCCTTAACATATCTCCAACTGTTATTGACTGGTTTCGTAGTTATCTACACGGACGCCGGCAACGTGTACGTATAGGAGACTCTTTCTCTGAGTGGAGCTTTACGTCTGCTGGTGTTCCTCAGGGCGGCGTGCTTTCTCCCTTATTATTCGCCATTTTTATTAATTCTATTACTCATAATCTAACTTCCACCTACCACTTGTATGCTGATGATCTTCAAATTTATACGCAAGAGAGATTTGATAACTTGAACGATGCTATCCGCAAGATCAATATTGATTTAGATCGTATAGTGAACTGGAGTTCGTCATTTGGTTTGAATGTTAATCCTAAGAAGACTCAGTGTATAATAATTGGCAGCCCTTACTTTGTGTCCAGGATTGATTTCGGGCAGTTGTCGAAAATTACTTTGGACGGGACAGTGATTCCATTTACAGATACGGTGAAAAACCTAGGACTTTTATTTGACAAATCTTTATCCTGGAGACCACAAGTTGCAGAAGTTAGTAGACGAATGTTTGCTTCAGCTGGGGCGCTGCGGCGCTTACGTAACTTCTTACCAACTGCCACCAAAATTACTCTTGCACAATCCCTACTTCTACCTATACTCGATTATGCAGATGTGTGCTATCCAGACCTTACAGTTGAGCTTCTTAATAAGCTAGAACGTCTCCAAAATTTCGCCATAAGGTTCATATTCGGACTGCGTAAATATGACCATGTCTCTCACTATCGTCAAAAGTTGAATTGGTTGACCATTCGCCGACGCAGAGACCTACACATATTATCCCTTCTCTTTTCTGTGCTGTTCAATCCATTGTCACCCAGATATCTCAAGGAGAATTTTAAGTTTCTTTCCTCTACTCACAATCTTCCCCTTCGTTCGTCTGACAATCTCCGCCTTTACATACCGCCTAACTTTTCTCAATTTTACAGCCAATCTTTTACCCTGCGAGCTATCCATTTATGGAATTCCTTACCTGAGAATGTTAGGCGCGCCCAAACGCTGGAGTCTTTCAAATCTCTAGCTGCGAAGTTCTTTTTGTCAGATGAACAGAAATCTACTTGATATGTTGCTTTCTTATCATTGTATGTTTGTTTATTTTATGTAACTTTATTATCATATTTATATTTCTATTAATATTATTAAATTTATTTGTAACGCGCACAGCCTACCTACATTATTGTCATCATTGCTTCTTCCAGTATAGGTTGCCTGGAAGAAATCGCTGTTAAGCGATAAGGCCGCCTATTGTGCAATAGTTTTAATATTTGTAAGTTACTCGTTATTTATTTCTGTTGTGTGTTGTACAATAAAGTGTTTTTATCTTTTTATCTTATCTTATATATTTATGACGTAGCTCTCGACTTTCACAAGTGCTTCTAACAGCTTTGACTGAATAAATAATTTTGATTTGATTTATTACAGTTGAAGTATCGATATGTGTCTTAAAATCAAATCGAATGTACTTTAACTTTCCATAGGATGGTTACAAATATATAAATATATATTTTTTTCTTATAAAGACTCAGGATTACCTCATTTCAATTAGTTTTAATTTAATATTGCGTAAAAATAATAGTAAATAAAGTAACCAAACGATTATAAGTTACTGAAACGATTATTTTTTCCTGTGAAAGGGATTAGTTACTTTTTTTAACTATTATTACTACGCAATATTAAATAAAAACTAATTGAAATTAGTTAATCCTGAGTCCAAATAAGAAAAAAAAAAAATGTTTATGACTGTTCTATTAAAGTTTAAGGTACATTCCATTTGAATTTATAAAGTTGTTATTGTGAGAATTTGACATTATGAGCTGAAACGATATACGTATATGCCATGATCACACAATCTGGATATCCGTAGCTTAACCTCACATATTATTAATTAACAAGGCACCAAATAGTAAAAACAAACTATTGTTACAGATTGAACTACGCGCTAGCGGGTCTTCGGCCGTGGTGGTGGCATGCATGCAACGTGGCGCTGCATGCGGCCTGTTGCGCGTTAGTAGTCCGCGCTTGCGTCACAGTCGCCAGACTGCAGAGGCCATTCGCAGCGCTTGCAGCGCTTCTGTTTGCTGTACATCCAGTGCATACAGAGGCGGTGGGTTTTAGTACACACATCAGCATATTAAGTCACCGCGTAAAATCCAATCTCTGCTTCAATTTTGTACTTTCAACAGAAATTTGGTTACTCTTTTTGTAGTAGTTGACTTTATATATAATAAATAAAAAACACAAATGATAGGTTGGCTGGAGGTTTAAGCTATCTAATCGAACATCTACTTGAGAACAGCAGTACCATTCTGTAATAAAACCATCGTTGATATCGGTGTCGAGCGGTTCAATCAAATTTGCAAAAAAAAAGATTTTATTTAATTGAATTTTTATATTACAGCGCTGTGCTTGATGATGCAAGATGTTTTTATTACAGAATAAAATAGCTGATTAAGATCACAGATCAGATTTATTTATTCATACGTATTTTTGAACAGGTAGCGGGAGTAGTCGGGAGAGCTGATGTTTTAGCGTGTATATTTTTCCTCTCATCACTTCTGGTATATCACAGGTAAGGTAACTTTATTTGAAACTATACTCTTGTATGATCCTTATAAGGCTACGCGCGCACTCGCGACTGTTTGTCATCGTGACATTTTGTCACTTTTCGCTATGCAAGAGAATCCTTTCGGTGGCGCGTGCACTTATACAAGTGACAACTGGTAATTTTTGTCACCATTCGCTTCTGTTTCTGCCACCGCGCTCATGACATTTGTATGGAATTCAACTAATTGTCATATATTCAGTTAACAAAAAATCACCAGTGTGTGAGTACCATTACTTACGTTCATAAGTACTTACTGTAATTTTAGTCTGCCTTACTGTTAGAACAGTTAGACAAATAAATTTAGTCTTCGTTTTTCTTGAAAATCACATTAAAGTTGAACGTATATACATATATCAGCACGCACGCACCGGCCGCACGACACACTACGGATTATATTAAAAAAATAATCTATAGTCCGTCCTATGACGTCATCAGCATAATTCCGACGTCAAAACTGACAGTCACATTTTTCATTGAAGCATAAAAATGTGAATGTAGTGGATGTATGACATCGACAAATCCGTGCATTGCGTTGCATATCGTGTGGCCGGTATATGCGTGCTAAGGCAGTGGACGAGCACCTTTAATAGTCATAACATTGATTGAATAGAAATATTCAAAAGACATCTCATTGTCGTCTAATAAGCCACTTCTTATTACATTTTTATCGATAACAAAGAAACGAATTTTTATTCAATTTCCACTGTTCGTAAGTGGGGACACAGTCAACGGGAACGACAGAAATACACCGGAAAATTAATGTTTGTTACAGACCTTCGAGCAGTAAAAAATGCGTATGGCTCAGTATAGCGCTCGGGGCTCTCAGTATGCTGGCCAAGGAGACGGGGGTGACAATACTGTTGCTCAATTTGGCCTTTGATTTCTATAGATGCTGGCCTTTCGTAAAAAGGTTGGTTCTGAATATAGTATGTTAAATAGAATATGAAAAAATGTAGTTGTGATTATTTAATAATACAATAAATTCAATGATTTTTTAGATAGGTTTTATACAACATAATTACGAAGTAATTTAATGGGTACATTTTCACACGATATGTTCAATATATTAAAGGTTTTCAGTGACCTTCATCAAACACTAGGAAACAGGTCCTACCTGTGAAGGAAATTAAATAACTCATAACGCGGGTTCAGTGCGATTGGTGCATATTAACGACTGCTGTTGTAGCTGGGACAACTGGTTAACGTGCAATCTGAAGCATAAAGGAGATGGTTCTAATAAATTTTTGGTCACCCGTGCTCAATTTAAGCATCGCATACCGAACGCACCAACTACTGCACCATCAAGCACTTAGTGATAAAGTACTTAATAAAACAAGTCTACACTTGAGCTCCATTTGAAAATCATTAAAAAAAATTGTAACCATGGCTAGAGTTATTGAGAGAGAGAAAGAAACATATCCATGTTTACAATAATAAGTTTTAAAATACGTTTTATCATTAGTAATAATAATCAATTTATTAATCACAAAATCATTGGTTGATAGGCAAACAACTTATGATTAGTTATTTTGTGCAATCTGGAGCCTAAGTTAGGGCAACCTTGAATTTAGAAGTCCATGTCCCAACCGCGAATCAACAAGCGCTCATCTCAGTGCACGTCAGTACCAACACGGTTTAAATAAAATAAAGCGTGAGCATGGGTGCTCTGGGGGCCAATTCTACTAAATAAATTTTGTTTAAATCGAATCGAAAACGGATCGAAACCGAACGCCAAGCCGAAGCCCAAGTCTTACCCCTCAATAATTATTGCAGTGTCATCTGCATAGTAGAATGTGCTAGAGTTAATCGGTTTATAGTCACACAGCTCATTTATATAGACTAGGAAGAGACTCGGGCCCAGCACAATGCTCTGAGCCACACCACAAGTTATGGGCATATCATGCTTTTAAATGTACCGACTTTTACACGTCGTTTCCTATTGGTCAAGAAACTATTGAATAATTTTAGCGTAATGCAACGGATGCTCGGTGGCGTAGTGGATAACGGCATCCTCCGTAGACTTGTTCGGTTGGAATCCAAATTGAGATAAATATATTAGGTATTCTTATGTGAATTAATAAGTTTTTCTAATATCTTCGATAATGCAGTGAGAACAGATATTGAGCGGAAGTTGTTGACGCAGTCTCCACTACCACACTTATGAAATGGATGAATAATGGATTGTTTGTAATAGAATTAAGTCCTGTAATTCGGTTCAAAAAATTGGTCTTATATCAAGATGAAGAGCTTGAACTTAGCATTGACACGTCAATATTACCCCTATGTAGCTCTGAATAAAACTTAGATTACTATTTTATATTAGAGGAATTCGAAGAGTCAATGGTAAATGTAATCATCTGTGATGTGGAAATAAAGCAACTTTGGCTAGAGCCGGTCATAAAATGGGTGACCAAGAATTTAATATCTCGAGCTCCTCCATACTTCGGAAGGCACATTAAGCCTTTGGTACGTCTGTACGTCCTATTTTATAGGTGACTGCATTTACAGTCGCTTACACCAATCTGTTGTGGGCCCATAGAACTATAACCCTTTCTCCTAATTCCATTCGATTGCATCCATAGGGAAGGACTGTGCCCACGGAAACATTAATAGGCTTGGTTAATAGCAAGAAAGGTTAAATAATATTAAAAATGATTAATTCACCTTTATTAGGTTTTTATATAACTAAATTTGTATTTAAAAATTTTGGGCGGGTAAGTCGACTTGATTTTTTTTTGAGTCATCGTTCACATTGTCTAGGTCGATATGCGCTTTGAAGATAGAGAAAAAATGCACCGGCTTATCAGTGAGAAGCATAAAAGTATTGGTTTCCTTGACGCTGCTAGTGTGTCTGAGACTGGCGCTGTTGCAGGGCACATGGCCAACATTCTCACCACAAGACAATCCAGCTGCTTTCCATCCAAGTTTCTTTGTCAGGTACAACGTCCTACAAGTGATAATATGATTTGCAGACAGTAACTCATAAAAACAAAGTGATTTAAGCTCAATCAAATTAAGTTAAAAAGGGTTGATCTTGGATTGAGAGATAAGGTAGAAACTTGTTTACACCCTATTATAGTCTTATAGTCTCGTAAAATTTAATGTCGGCAGCATTTTCAGCTAATTATTTTAATTCCAAAGTGAAACGCTAATTGAACTGGACTATATTAACGTAACATTTAGAACGTCCATTTAATAATATGATAATTTTGAGTTGACAACTAGAATTCATAGAGCTAATTCTGGGTACATTTCATTATAAATTCACTCATGAATCTTTTTTAAACGTACTCTCTAATGTTTTGCTGAATGTTTGGCTATTCCATATCTTTATATTAATTCTAGTTGTCCTTACACTTAATGAGATATCATTTACAAACACAATAGATACCACAATCTTATTTGTTTATTGTTCTTGAATATTAAACTCTGAACCCATGATGAAAAGTAGATTACGTTCGTGTTTCAGTCATACTAATTATGCAGTGAAATCATTAACTATACCCTGATATATATTCGACACGCAAGTAGCTTATCAGTGTAAGTACTATCATCAGCTTTTAATATCTATAATGTACGATGCATTTTTAATGTACCCGCATAGTTTGTGATCAATTGGAAAGTTAGTTTCATTTTAAAGATATGAAATTGATTGGAGTTCGATATGATTTCGTATAATATTTTTCAATTGAGCCAAAATATTTCCAGTAATCATAATTAAATCTAATCATATATAAGAAGAAATTGAATTTTATAGATCAAAAAACCGACCGAGTGTGAATTAGACTCGCGCCCCTCAGGGCGTATTCCACATATTAAATATTATTTTAGATCAAATGTCTATAAACGGCAGAAAACTACTCTCGGGATCACCCAGATGATAACATTTCTCTTTTAGACTGATGACGTTCTGCTACCTGGCTGCGTTCAACTGGTGGTTGTTGCTGTGCCCGTGGACGCTTAGCCACGACTGGCAGATGGGCTCAGTACCACTCATCACTAGTGGCTGGGACCCTAGGAATCTGCTGACTTGTGCCGCATTTGGGGCATTACTGCTTCTGTGTTATAGATGCATCGCAGACTTAGAGGTTCGTTTGCCTCTGAATGTTAAAATCAAATACTGATTCGAGTTGATAGATAATACTGTATTATGTATGATCAATGATCAGGTACAGAGACATACTCCGGCTGTGATCGGACTGTTGTTACTGGTGATACCGTTCGCGCCGGCCAGTAACCTGCTGGTAACCGTTGGCTTCGTGATCGCCGAACGTGTGCTGTACATACCTAGGTAACTGTAAAATTAGTTTATTAGACGTCATGATAATTCTAAGTCTAAATCCATAAAAGTTACTTGATCAGCAAGCAGTTGGTGGCAATAAGGAAGGTTGATTGTACATATTCTTTGGTCCACAAATATGTAATAAGCAACTCACTTCCATTACCGGGACTTATTGATTTAGTTTTTATTCAAAATCTCATGCGATTATGAAATTTAATAAAGCTTACGATTTCTATCATAGTATCAGGCATGAGCATTTAATGTGTAATTTGACTTATCCTATATTGTTAATTGCTAAAATTAAAAAAAATATCCACGCAAATATCTATGCATAACATCATGAATGCAAAATTTATTCATTTTTATTATCGCCGAAAAGAACAGGAATTTGTACTGTCAGGAACTTGTATACCGAACGGACCAACATTAGTGTCTCTTAACTTTTGATTAAATCTTTTCTGTAGTGTGGGCAGTGTTATCATAACAGCATATGGTGTGCAACTGATGTGGTACTCTAAGCCTGGTACCAAAGCATTCTTGATCATCGGTCTCGCAATACTCGCTGCAAGTGGAGTCGCCAAGACACAGCGCAGAAACGCGGATTGGCGCGATCGAGCTACGTTGTTAAGGTAAGTAAAAAAAATGTATTTACTGATATAATTATTGCGTTTTATAACTAAATGTTCCTTTAAACATGGTAATTTTAGACGTAGTTTTATTATTTTACCAAACTTATATTAGATACTAACAGTAATTCTCTAAATATTGTATTTTCGCTAAATTGTAATTGAGTTAAATTATAATTGGTACGGCATTTGTCAAACCATGAAAAGATGAATAAGAAGTTTATTCATTCCAATTGCATTAGTGATCGACTTGGAATCCTATTTCAGTTTCTATTAAACGAGTTTAAAGTAGGTACTCGGTTTTCAAACTCTATAAATCCCGCCATCGAGGTTATTCTCTGTTCGTAAACGAAGTTTTGAATTAGTCAGAAACTTTTCCTGGCCCGTCTTGACAACTTTGAAACTCGAATCAACGTATATCATACTAAATATTTTGCCTTATAACTGCAGCCAAAGAGGACCTCTATTAGTCAAATTATGTGGTGTAGCTAGTTAGTGTCTTGTTTTTAGATCTATATAAGTAAATATTACACTATTTTATAAACACATATTTCATATAAGTAATCTTTCTCCCTCTAAAGCAGCAGATCTCAAACGTTTTTGGTAACGGAACATTACGTTTACTTGACGGAACTTTAAATACTTGACGGAACCCTAACTAAAGTAAAACAAAAATATTTTAATTTGCATTATTTATTAATACTAAAGCAACAGTTACTTATTTATTACATAACAAAATATATGGAATAGAAGAGATAAAAAAGAAAATATCTAATGGGAGGTATGAAACTGTTATGATTTTTTTCTTAATTCCTGCGGAAACCTAAGATTTCGCGTAGCACACTTTGAGTATGGCTGCTCTAAAGTATTTGTTGGTATGATTTTTATAATTTAATTTGTTACCGTTTGTGCTTACATGTGAATTTGTGTGCGGGCGGTGCACATCGTCTTGCAGATACTGACTGGGTGTGGAAATGAAAATGCAATGGAAATAAAATCTAATTCTATTTAGTACATTTTTTCTTAAAATCAAGCATTGTCTAAAAGCTTTATATTATAGCATATAAATTTACAATTATAAAAACTTTTTGGAACGCAAGAAACACAAGTCGCATAACCTCCTTTATTTAAATCTTTAATACCGCATTTCGCAGCCACGATATATTAAACATGACACAAACGCCACAATTTACACCGTGCAATATTCGCCTCACGGTCGCCACATTCGGGTGTAAATTACCTCCAAATGTATTTTGTTTGTTTCAGAGCGGATCTAGCAACTTTGCCGCAAAACGCTAAACTGCACTACAACTTAGGGAACTTTCTCCGTGAAACAGAACAGCAGGAGAACGCTATCAAACATTACAAAGAGGCACTCAGGTAACAAAGGCGGTAGTTGGAACGCGAGCTTCTCGGATCTCACCTACTTATAGGAGAATTTTAGCTTCTAAACGTTTTATATTTATAATGGATTAACAATTTTTAAAGATAAGATCTTTTTTTGTTAAACACAGTTTAGAATTTTTATAAAAAAATATTAATAGTTTTCTAGAAATATTTTCCTGTAACTATAGCGGTTAAGGTCCTTACTACCATTAAAAACATATTTTATCTACAGAAAGTAATGGTATATTAGTAATTATAATAAATTATTTATTCAGGTTATGGCCTAGCTACGCCAGTGCACATAACAACATCGGCACATTGGTATCAAGATCCGAAAATGCAGAGCACCACTTCCTGCAAGCCATAAAGTTCAATAAATACCATGTGAATGCACACTACAACCTTGGGAAACTTTATAAGTAAGACTAAATAATATAAAGTACTTAATATTTTCAGAAAAGAGTGATACGATCTTATGTTCCTAATCAAAATCTAGATATAAACTTTTTATGTTATCTTTTCTGGGTAATTCTGACCATTATTGAAGCATTTACATATGTGCATACAGCTACACAAAATATTGAGTTACGTAATCAGTTATAAACGTAACAGTCAATCAATTGAGATTTCCAATCAATCACAAGTCTTGATTTTGTTTTCTTAGAATTCATCCAGTCTTATACTATTAGTTAGCAGATAGAAAAAAAAAAAGAATCTAATTAATAAGATCCTTATAAAAAACCTTCAGGAAAACTGGTCGAACAACGCAAGCAGTGATGATGTTAGAAAAATGCGTATGGCTTCAGCCTCAGTTCGTCCAAGCTTACGTGGAGTTGCTCACTTTAAAACCGGAAGTAGAGAAGCACAGAATTTTGACAAAACTAGTCGATCTCGATCCGAATAACTGGGAACACTTCGTATTGTTCGGTGACTGGTTGAAGAGTAAAGGTTAGAAAAACATATTTTTAACACTGCACAATTTCTGTGTTTTTTTATAACAATTCTTCTAATTACATCACATAATTTGCCGTTACACAATATTAAAACATGATGTAAAATATTTAGCCCAAATATTTTAGATTTTATTTCGTAGTTACTTTTATTTCAAAACTATCTATCTATAACATTACATTGAAACATTAACTTTTCCGCAGCATTATTCTTTGTATTATAATATTATTACAGGGCTCCCTCTGCCCGCATCGAAGTACTATCTAGAAGCCCTGAGGCTTAGCTTTAGAAATCGTAACGTAGACAAGCCGGGTAGGGGAGATCTCCTATCGTTCCGGTCTACAGCTTTGATGTATCGGTCGTCGGGGCAAAAGTCGAGAATGTTGCAACTTTTAACGAGGTAATATAACATCAGAATATGTTCAAGTAATAGGAAATAATGTGTCGATAGTGAGACTAGAAGTTCGGAAATGAATAGTGTCTGATAAAATGATATAAGGAGCTTTCACACAGGTCGGTCATTGGAAGGATAACCAAACATGTTTTGTCTCCTCTGTATGTTTTGTATCTCGTAAGGCACGTTAAGATATTATTCCCTGCTAAAATTGAAGGTGTTATCTGCATTGGACCCGAGTTATGGGTTGTGACTTTTGCTCCCTATGTAATTCTATCATCAAACAAGACTTGTGGTACAGCAGGAGGCACAGCAATTAGCTGATATGTTATAATAATGTTTTATAAATACTTTGTGAATGAAGGTGGCAAACGTGGCGACGTGGGTGGCCCAGTGCTGCCGCCGCCCATATGTATCTCAGGGACTGGAGACTGAAAATGGAGCTCGAAGGTCGAGTTCAGATATATTCCAAAGCAGTTAATCCTACTGTAAGTTCTTCAACGTCATGATTACTCATATCAAATAATATTCTAAACTCTCGAAACAAATTTCCAATTAATGCAAATAGTAATCAAGTAGTTTCTCCAAGAGAGATATAAATAGAAACAGTATTTTATAAAAAAGTCTGAATTAGATTTAAAGCTCTTAAGCTATAGGAATATTTATTTTTTATTTCTTTTTAAAGTAAAAGCTTATATAAAAGAACTAAATTAATTTCAATCTAAGTAATAATTACAATTAATAACAAATTAAATCAACTATCTAACAAGAGTATCTTTTTTCGCATCAATACAATAGAATACCTTGAAAGTATTGTGTCTACATTACAAGTTTTTTACGTACTGATAATTCTTATTTACTTTTGTAATAACTTTGAGACAATTTTGTTTGAATAAGAATGGTAAATAATAGTTTTCTATTAGAAATTACCAGCCAGATACTGAATACCTAGTGAATAATTTAAATCATTGCCCACAGAGATCAACGAAATGTTTCGACCACACAAGACTGTCTGTTACGCAGAAACAAGACAACGCACCAGGAGCCAGGGTCGCAGAGTCTAAAAGTACGAAAAGTGACAACAGTGATTGTGTAATGAAATCGTGCGGGACCAAAAAGAGAAACCTGTCAATATCATCGCAAATTAAGACTACTCATAATAAATCAGAAATCGGACTCAAAGAGAAAAAGTGTTTGCATATGAAGGAGGATACTAAAAGCAAAGGTGTTATGCCTAACATGACGCCGCCATTAGCGGAACACATTTTACTGAAGACATTTTAGTTATTATTCAAAGAGTGTGATATTTAAGAGTGAGGTTAATTTAATAGCGAGATGCGAGTTATGGATAACCACTAACGGGTTGTTTTGCGTTAAGTTAGATTGATGATAAAAGTTATAAAGTTAAGAAAAGTAATTTTGTTTTTAATGCCAACATATTTATGTCAAGGTTTGATAATTGATTTATGTTTTCGATAAATTTAAACTGTATTTTAGTTTATATTTTAATTATCATAGCTTTTAATTTTACGGCGCTCTTTTATGATTATAAAAAATACAATCTACCTATATACATTCTCATTCAAGAAATATTATTGTAATAATTCGACTTATGTTATCCAAGTATTTGTGGTGATTCCTCAGCTGAAGTTGACAGAGTTGTGTTCTCTATTATTAACTTTGATGATCTGGGACGTTAGTTGTAAATGCCGACAATATCGTGAAGTTAAATTTATTAAATAAAATCGTGTTACTGTTGGAATTTCCATTATTAACTAAGAATAATATTGTTTTAATAGAAATATAATCCTTTTTTTGAATTATTTAATTAGAATAGGATTATTTTTTTTAATTAAAAGAGAACGTTACATACAATTTCTATTTTCATTTTATTAATTTCACATTTATTCTGGCTATTCACCCTCCGCTATCAGAGATTAGTTCATTAATGAAAATATTTCAGTGGCAGGTGAATTCATATTTGATGCGATTTCATTAGTTTTTAATGGAGTTCCAATTTGGACACAATTTAGATAGATAACTAATTTTAACTATACTTAGAGAACGAAATGAGAGTATATTTTTGTCAACGGTTGCGGGTTACGTGATTTTTAAGAACGTACACAAAGTTTTTACGCTAGCGTTAGTAGATGTCGCTGTGGTGATGGCTTTGGAACATTTTAATGTGAACTCCTATTAGAAGTTTATTCATCTTATTTTTGTTATAAGTAGCACTAGTCATTACGGGAGGTTTTATATAGGGTATCTTTTTATCGGTACTTTATTTTATGTGGTTAAGTATTATTAATAAGTTATAATAATAAATAGATAAAAATTCAACATTTATTTTAATTTATATGAAAAAAACCTTCTTTATTTAAATATAAATAAAATAAACTGTGGATATGTCGACGACAATCGATCCTCAGAATACAGTAGGTGTATTATAATTAGCAACGTTATTATATATATTTCTTTCTTTTTTATCTCCCATTATAAATTTGGGAAATAAAAAAGAAAAAAAAATTATAAAGGGTAAAAAAAAGTGAAAACAAATCATGAAAATTAGTTTGAGTAATAAACGCTACATTAAAATTTGCGTACTGGTTACAAAATTTACCTGTATAGTTTACTCGACAATCGTTTACTTAGGTTTCGCACCGGGATATTTTTTTAAATATCGAAAACAAATATATCCAAAGCGGTCAGCACAGCATCGAGAAATGTGCCACAGCTAGCTTAAAAAAATTGCTTGGCCTTATTTATAATGATAGGCACCATGACGTGCTTACTATGAATATAACAGAGTCCAATAACGCGGCGACAAGCGAATTTATACTTAAAAGCATCCATACTTACGATCTATTTTAAATGAAGAAAATGCTTGTTGCCGTTGTAAGGCGTCATGAACGACGAATCAGTTTACAATAAAATGTACATATTGTTAAGAATAGAGTAAAGGCACATGGCAAACGCTTTGAATGTACTGAAAAAAATAAACGATTGGATATATATTTGGTTTATTTTATTAGGTTTTTATCCAAAAGACCTATCTCATTTTCTCCATACTCATAATTTTTACTACATAATATCTACGTATATATAACCTGCATCCCCACGTCCGTGTGGTGTATACATAGGGTCTAGCCGAAAATCGGCGTCGGTCTGTTTATGAAAAGTAAACAGACCGACAAATGCCGAGCTAGATACCTATTTGGTGCAGTCGTGGGACACAAAATTTTTTTTTCATGTTGAATAATGTTGAATATCCTATTGTTTGTAATTGTACATTTAATCTCATGTTTATTTTAATATGTAGTCATGGGATTAATTATTATATTTTTGTGTCCTATGTGCATGCGCCGAATAAATGAATTTGAATTGAATTTGAAAAATCTTTGCATACACGAATGTTTAAGGTATCCATGACGCCATCTTTTATCGACGCGTATGTGATCTGAAGACCTTTTTTTGCTAACACAGGGGAAATGTGCCTACAGCCTTAAAGCAGGGCTTTCCAAGGTTAGAACGTAATTGAACTAACTGGTAGAACCTGCTGCTGAATACCCTATGTTGGTAACGATACGAGATCCGGCAAGGAGCCCACTGGATCCAACCCCACATGATCCGGAAGCGCTACTCTGTTTGTTGATGAACGAAATTTCGGAAAAATTTGTTAAAATAATGATATGTAGATGTATATTATTTGTGTAAGGTCCTACCTCTGTTTCGTTATAAATTATCGAACAACGAGTCTCTTTGGAGTCATATTAGCGTTTAGGAAATAGACGAGATTTCATTTTCGGCGAAACAGAGTAGTCACAAACTCAACGACCGAATAAAATGGTGTATTGATCGTTAAAATTAGTACTAATTTGTAAACCTATAATCGTCATAAGGGATCAATCACGATTAAACATAAAAGCGCTACAATAATAATAACCCTTATTGCAAAGTTGGAACTCTATAGAAAATTAGTAACAATACATTTAAAAACTTGTACGCAACTGCATCGACCATTGGAATATGCGACTATCCCATCCATTTGCAATCAATACTATACGTGTTTTCTTTTTGTTGAAACATTAAATAATGTATATTTTTCTACAACATCTAACATCTTTTAAATAAACAAAGGAAGCAGTCTAAATTCCACCTGATTATAAGACGCGATTAATCTAAACAATAAAAAATATACTTTTCCAATTCTTTCGTTTTACGATTTGTTTTATAGCTATTATAAGCAGTAAAAGTAACAGTTAGTTACGAACGCTATAAAAGGCTCCAATCTACGAGGCACTAAACTCGGTTAACAACTACTATACTTATAGCTTGAACTAAACTTTAATTGAATCAAAGCTGATTTTTCTAGATTGGGTACTAATCAATTTCAATTTGAAAGTCTTATACAGGATCGTTATCGGTGTGCAAAGATTTTCCCTGTGGTTTATTTATCGTTGATAGTTGATATTTTTTAGGCATTTCATATTAGAATATTCAGTTTATTAATTTTATTATGTTTATTGTAATAAAGCTGTCGGTATATTGATAAAAAGTGGTGTATAGTAAAAGTAGCAACGTATTTATATACTAGCTGTTTCTCGCGACTTCGCACGCGTTAATACCAATAACGTATGATGTAGCTATCTGTAGGTAAAACAATTTTTAAAATCAGTTGATTTATAAATTTTATCCCTGATGTGAAACTTTTTTTATCTCCGATGTGAGTTTTACTGCATTTAAGTCACAATAAATACATTAAAAAGACAAAGCCCGTGCTCGATTGGGCTGAGCTATACATTGTGTAAATTAGTATGTAGGTATCGAATCCTTATATATTAGCTTTGCCTAAGCATTGTATATATTCTTTAAATAAATACCAAGTAATGTTCATGGCTTTCAGTATAATGAGATCTATTGAATTCAAACAAAACTTAAAAGCAATGCAATTTAATGTATTTACAACTATACTTGTTTTCGTTACGGTTCTTTCCGGTCGACTTTCATAACTTTGAAAACCTTAGGGGTTGAATTTTTTAGAATCCTTTCTTATCGAAGAATCTCTACGTCATAACAAGTTTAGTGTGCCAATTTTCAGCTTGAGCGTACTAGTTTGAGCTATGACATGTTGTTACAACCTGTTCTATGCTTACCCTTGATTTATAACGAGTTTAATGCAAGTGATAAAAAAATAAACTAAAAAAAAAGAAAAAGTAAAAAAACATAGACGTATCCACGTCAAAGAAGTTTTAAAAGAGCTCGTGGTAATTCAGGGGTTAATTAAATAGATGCCTTTATTTATCTTTAGAAATCTCCATAATAATATTATTTGTTGGTTTTTCCAGACAACGAACTATACGCTGCTTACTTTACTCGGATGATTATATTAGTCCCGTCCAAGAAATCGAGCAATTGTATGAAAATACCTGCCGCATCGGTTTAACGTAACTGATGTGGCTGCTCATTTTTACTAAAGGGCCGGTTTCACTATCACTATCTGAAACTTTATCAGTAACCGGTGAAAATGTGACATTACTACTATATTAACCATATGATTAGAAAAAATCTTTTTTGTGCCATTAAGTATGTAATAATTCATTAATTTATAAAAAAAATTGTGTTATATCAATAAACTTAAATATATCTTTATCAATTTTACACTTTCGAAGACTTCACAAAAACGGATGGTTTCCAAAATTCAATTATTCGATGCTAAAGTTGAATTCTCTTGAATACAGATAAGTCATTGTGAGGCATGTCGCCCAAACTATTCGATGCCATCTAAACTCGTCCGTCCACGTTTTGACTCAGCGTCGCTGGTAATTGAGTAACTTTGCCTTGTAACTGAAGTAGCCGCACCTTTTAGATGGATATCGACACTCAGAAGTTTCCTTTAACGTCTCATGATCGGACCAGAATATGAAAGCAATTTTGTCTTTCGAAAAGTATCTAAACACAATTACTATAAGTTAATGAGTCTAAAAAAACTCATGATTCAGCATAAATTATTGTCACCCGCGTGAAATTTCTTAGGTGAAATAAATTTCATAATTGTATCAGTATTTCCAAAAATAACATCCTACAAACAAATTATCTAAGTTAGAAATTTTACTTCTCAGATATTATTTTCAGATTTTTGTATTTACGGATAGCGCTTATCAGCTTACACATAATTTTTTGAAGGGTAATTTTATTGTATGCTACTGAGTAATAATTAAGTATTTATTATAATTCATGCTGCAAAAAGAAATTCAAATTTGCAAAATATCTCACGTCTCTTAACACACATTACTGATTTCTTATATATTCCCGAGCACTATATGTGTCCAATAGCCTAGTTTTGAAGGTAGCTATTCTTTTAATGAAAAATGTCTGAAAACTGTAGAGTCTGGAACGCTATGAAAACAAGTACACACGCGCTGAAACTGTTAAAAGTTGTTTTATTTGACACATTTATATTTTTCGTATATATTCAACTATAAACTATAATGCTATTCTAGCGTACAGCACCATACAAATAAATGCACATCTATAAAGCAATTTGTGGTAGTTTCAAACGGCAAATGGCAGTGAAGCGTTGGTGTTTGTGTAAGGAATTCAGTTAGGAACTCTACCCATGAAGCTGGCATTGCTTTCATTCCACAAGGAATTACATCTGGGATTGAGAGATATTAGTATTTGATTCTAAAATCTTGACGTGTATTTGCAAATGTTTGTTACTTTACAAGAGAATCTTAATTTAGATGATTTATTACGTGAAATATGCAATGGATGTTTTATTTAAAGAACAACGATAGAAATATTGAGAAAGAAACGGCTAGTGCATCAGACAAAGGTATCAATTTTTGATCCGCATAATAATAAACATTTGAAATGAATGATACAAAATTTCACTTATTATATTTCTTCGCACTCATGATGTTTTATGGATCTCTCTATAAATTATTAATTTGATTA